AGATCCTGCAGTATTTTTCTTTCTGTGCCGGGCTTATTTCACAGAAGAGTCTTTCAAAATTGAAGGACACATAATATCCTTCAGATTCATCCATGTTGTTGCAAATGACAGAATTTCTCTTTTTAGAGCTGAACGGTATTCCATTGTGTATATATACTATGTTTTCTTTATCCATTCGTCTATTGATGGACACTGAGGTTGATTTCATATCTTGGCTATTGTGAATTATGTTGCAATAAAACATGGGAGTGCAGATATCTCTTTAGCATGTTGATTTCATATCTTTTGAATATATACCCAGTAGTGGGACTGCTGGATCATATGGTAGTTCTGTTCTTAGGTTTCTGGGGAGCCTCCAGACTGTTTTCCATAATGGCTGTACTAATTTACATTTCCATCAGCAGTGTCTAAGTGTTCTCTTTTCTCTATATTGTCACTAATACTTTATTATCTTCCTGTATTTCAGCTATTCTAACAGATCTTAAGTGATACCTCATTGTGATTTTAATTTGAATTTCCCCGATGATTAATGATGTTGAACATATTTTCACATACTTATCATTTATATGTCTCCTTTTGAGAAATGCCTATTAAGGTCCTTTGCCCATTTTTAAATTGGGTTTTGTTTTTTTTTTCTTGCTATGGAGTTGTTTGAATTCCTTATATATTTTGGATGTTAGCTCCTTATCATTTGTATGGTTTGCAAATATAGTCTCCCATTCCATAGGTTGTCTCTTACTGGGAATTTTATATAAGAAATTTTAGAATCATATTTGCTGTTGTGGGTGAAATGGATTAGAGAGAATAAGCGGGAGGAAGAAATGCCTAGGAACAGAGAGGCAATTCAGAACTATTACAATAATATCAGCAAAAATGGGCAGATCTTGGACTAAGAGTTATGACTCTGATTGGCAGATGAACTAAAGATATATTAAGGAAGGAGAACTGACTAGATGTTTTGATCAATCAGATGTAGAAAATGAGGGACAGTCAGGAGCTGATTGAAGTGAATAGGTGAACTGAGTCAGATTAAAATAGGCCCTATTCAACAGCCAGGAAAACAGGGACAAAGTGTTTTATTCTGGTGAGAGGCTAACACTAGGCAGGTTCTCAGGGCTCTCGTGAAGTGATTTGGGATTCAGGGAATAATTGTAGTCCTTGTAAAAAATTTCAATGCTTTTATCAGTTGAACTGTACCTCCTAAAATTCTTGTGTTGAAGTCCTAGTCCCTAGCACCTCAGAATGTGACTGCATTTGGAGATAGGGTTTTAAAAGAGGTAGTTTAGACAAAATGAGGCCATTGGGATATTCATTAGAGTAGGTTCCAATCCAACATTGCTGGTGTCCTTACAAGAAGACATTAGGACACAGCCACACAGAGGGAAGACCATGTGAAGACACAGGAGAAGATGCCATATACAAATCAAGAAGAGAGGCCTCGGGAGACGCAACTCTGCCAACATTTTTGATCTCAGACTTCTAGCCTGCAATTGTGAGAAAATATTTCTGCTGTTTAAGCTACCCAGACTGTGGCACTTCATTATGACAACCCTAGCAAATACTACAAATGTCAACATGGACCTAAGTCCTTTTAAACCAGAGAAGACACAAGCCATGCGAACTGGGTGCTAAATGATACAGCTCAGAAAGTAGGCAGGGCCACCAGGGACCCTTGGTTAGTGATCTTCTAGCCAAGAACTACTTCTCAATCCTATCCTCTGGTAGATATGGGGCGTCTAATATTCTTTCAAGTTTGATTCTTATTGACTCAAGTTTGATTCTTATTGACTCAAGTTTGAAATCTCATTGACTTCAAGTTTGATTCTTATCTGTAGCAGAGCCGAGCTACAGATGAAAAGTCTTTAATTCTGATACTAAGAAGAGGCAGAAGCAAGCAGGGGTTGACTGACAATCTCAATTTCAAAAAATAACTAACTGCATATCAACATATAGCATAAACGAATGTTAGATCCAGTCGGAATTGACTCAAAAATAATTAAGATATTTATTTCTAGTTGCACATTCGGAATCTTTGCCTTCACATGCAAAGAGAAATTCACTGTGGTTTAACTGCTGTTATTATCCTGCATTACTGCAAATTTCTCTGAACTGATCTTTCTGTTTCATTATCGCCACTCTTAGACCCCAATAATGAGGATCAAGAGCAGATCATTTTAGGCATGAATAGGCACATTGCCATGATTTTCTCATTTGTCTGTACACATTTGCCAAAAAAAGGAATTATCCAGATATCTTGACTCTTTGTCCTAGTCTCCTAAATCCAATTTCAAAGGGTAGATTCTTCCTTTGCAATTACTCTCACATCCATCCTTTTACATTTTTATATGTCCCAGTTCAGGCTCTTTTCAGATCTTGCCTAAACCAGTACAATAGCCCCCTTACTTTTCTGCTTGCCTTTTAGCTCTTTCCTCGCTACCTAAATTCATCCTGCACAAAACTTTTATAAAACACCTTTAGAAAATGTTGACCACAATGCTCTTTTCCTATATATTAACCTTCAACAGATTCTGGTTGCTTATTCAAACACATTCAAACACCTCTGTCTAGTGTTTAAGACTGTGGGAATCTGGCCTTTTCCAGCCAATGCATAACTGCCCTAGCTTCCCAAATCCTCAAATGAATTGAAGTAGTTTCAAGCATTGCCCACCACATGCCTGCCACACAGCCTGGTGCTTCCCACCCCTGTGCTTTTGTTCATATGGTTCCATTCCTTAGCCTGCACTCTGCCATGCTCCACCATGCTCCTTCAAGAACAGTTCAAATCCCACACGCTTTTGGTCTCATTTTTCTCCCAGAATGAGATGCCCTTTTTTCTGTCTACTCATTCTACCCATCTTTCAAGGCGAAGCATAACTTCTAACTTACCTTTGAAGTCTTTCCTAACCATTACGGCATTCAATCCTTTGAGAAAGGCTTTTGTGGGGTCACCAGTTACCAGATGTTGTCTGAGCTCTAGGGATCACAATTGGGTAAGACACTGTTCCTAGTTTCCAGGATGATATCCTCTCCTCTTTCCTTGAGCTCCTATTGCAGTTACTACCCAAAGAATTGCCTATTAATAATGCAATGCCTCAGGAAATTTCTTCTGTTTTTAATTGCCAATTACATTTGCTTAACTTAAAAAAATGACTTATCTTCCCTAGTTATAGATTGCAAAGACTCAGTTTCCCCCCAAAGTATCTAGTTTAACATGGGAATAGAGAGAGAGATACTATATGTATCAGGCATTGGGCTGCTATTTTTGCTAGTGCTTCTCCTGGTGTGATACATCTAACAGTTCACTCTATGGGGTACACAAAACCCATGATATTACAGATACTGTTGCTTAGGATAAGGCTAAAGTAAATAGCGCCTAGTTAACTGTTTTTAAAAAGTGAGTTGATTTAAAAACAAATGTTAAATAATAATGTTTCAAGTGATAGCTCTGGCAAAAATGGTAGAAGTGGTTTTTTAATGTCTTTCAAAGGTGTTATATGATATCACATTTATTCCTCAGAACAGTCTTTCAATTGGAAACCAAAGTCCAGAAAAATGATAGAACTTACTCAAGTCGCTAACAGATCATACTTTCCCCCTTTACCATAATACCCTTTTGCATATAGAAAGATTTAGTTTAATACTTGAATATGGGTGTCTGACCCATGTTTTAATACTCCATCTCCTCAAAAGGATTTGCTTTAGCTTTCTAAATCAAATCCTTCACCTTCAGAAGAATAAAAGAGGCACACCAGAGTCATTCTGGTGTATTTCTAAGCACATTTACAAAACATACAAGGAAAAGGACTTGATTCCCTGGCTGGGTGAGTGAAACGTTAATTCTTCACCTTGGCACCTCAACCTACAGCTGTAGTAAGGGCCGTTATGCCCAAATAGGCCCTTAAACGGAAGACCTGCTGAGCAGAGACCCACTTTCCCAGCCCCGCTCAACTGCCTCAGCTTTTCTGCCAACTGACCAGGCGGAAGCAGCAGCAGGGGAGGAGGGACTGCAGGTAGGTGGGGAGGGGATCATTTTGAAAGCCCTAAATCCCTTGCAGGGAAGAAGCAGCTGCTCCTTGTTTTTCTAAACATCTGTCCCATCTGTCCCAGGCCACACCTCACCCTTTGGTGGCTCGAGCCAGTGAAACGTGAATTTGACAAGAAACCCCTTCTGAAGGCTGGTTTGTGAGTGGAAACGAACCTAAGTGCCACCTAGAAAGTTTCTTCTACTGAGAAGACGTTAGTAGGGGGTCTTCAGCGGGACGGCTATTACCTTCCTTCATTTTATTCTCACAAAACACACAGCTTTTACTGATAGAGGCGGGATTTGTAACGTCACCCAAATCAGACTGTACGCCCTGGGGATATTATTTCACAACATAGAGGTACTTCTAGAGCCCACATTTTAACCTCTAGGAGAGCCACAGCCTAATTGGAAGGAGAAATAACGATATTGCACACACCATACCGCCTTTATGGTAGAACAAGCCGTGCACATCTAGTGCCTGTGGCGTTTATCACATTTTTCAGCGTGTGGCTTTTATTTGTCTCCTCTGCCACACTGCTCCTTGAGAACAGGGACGTTATTTTTATTGTTATTTTCCCCTCGTATTCAGAACCGCGGCTGGAACTTGGTAGGCATGAAATAGATATTTATGAATGAATGAACGTTAACGAAGAAGAAAAGGAACTGGATGATTCATTTGGTTCTCCGAAGGCGGGTGTGAGGGGCGGGGCTCGGACTTTGACCCAGTTACCGAGTGAGGCGCAGTCCCAAAGTCCTGCAGGTCCGGCTCCAGTCACTGCAGACCCGGGTCTACAACCCGTGCTCAGGCCTCCCGAAGCGAGGCTGCGCGCGTCCTGCACGGTCCCGCCCCGAAGGAGCGCAGCCACGCCCCCTTCCCTGGTCATTCCCTCTGCGAAGTCAGTTCCACTCTAGTTACAGGATTGGGGCGGGGCCAGCAGAGCGCAGGCGCAACGGGCGGCGGAAGTAGGAACCTGGGAAGGAAGAGGGAAAGGGGCCTGGCTGTGCTTTGCAAAGGGCCCACGTTTCTGTTGTGGGAAGCTCCCGGAGGTCGCACGTGCGTCCGAGCCCAAGCCCCTCCCCACCACTCCCCTCCCCGCTTGCCCCGGAGCCGCCAAGCGGCTGGCTTCTTCTCGGCCCGCCGAGATGGCGCTCGACCCCGCAGGTACCGGGGCGGGAAACGGGGTTTGCCGAGGGGCTTCGCCCTGGGTCTCACGCCGCGGGCCTGCACTGCGGGCTGGAGACCGACCTGGGAAAGGTGCAGAGCTTTGGGTGGCATTGCTTCCACCAGCGTCTCCTCACGCTCGGCGTCTGCTTCACCCAGTCTTAGGTCATCTTCTCACTTGTTGGGGGTTATGGTTAGCTGAGGTTGCTTTTGTTGTCTAAACTCTCATGCATTGTGGTTTCTTAACGCGACTCGTCTCTTCATTGTCACCCTCTTTTCGCCCCTTAAGGGCGCAGACTCATTTAATGTATGGTGCAGACACTCTGGCCCCAGAAAAATTTTTATATTCTGGCGCACAGTTTTACATTTCTGTGTGGGAGTTCGTGGACCCCGAGTTCATCCTTGTAACCCAACTTAAAAACACATTTCAGAGGATCCATCACTGTGGCAAGAGTCAGTTTCTTTGGAAAGGATCTTCAAAGTCTTGAATGTTGTTTTAATCTCCTTGCTTCCAACCACTTGCGTTTGCAGCAATAGTTTACTTCCCCTCGAATTCCCGTCCTTGCGGAAGGTGCAGTATCTTTGCTTTAGGCTATTCTTGCAAGGGAATAGATAACAGTTTTGGAGGGAATGGTAATTGGTCTAGTCCATTTCTTTCATTTTATGGATACAAAAAGTCAAAACGTTGAGAGGTGAAATGGCGTCAAACTTGGGAGATTCAGAAATGGGAAATGCTCTTTCGGAGCCTTCAAGGAGCATGAAAAATATATGTAGCACAGAAATAATGTTTTAATTGAACACGTTATTACCATGCTAAGTGTTCTCTATTATCCAACAATATGTGGTATGGTAGGTTCCTTTAGCTCTATTTTACAGATTAGGAAACCGAGGCGAAGAGAAGTTAAGTGACTAGTCCAGCAGGTAGTGGTAGATCAGGGAATACTCTAATTTGAAGCATAGAGGAGTTTTGGAACATAATGATCATGTTCATTTTGGACCTGGTGATTATGAAACAGCAGTTGATCTGGGCTTTGAGGGATGGAATTTCCAGTGTTTGGAACTGGAGAAGAGCAGCTCCATGAGCAAAGGTTTAGATAATAAAGTGCACTGTGCGATGCTTGGTTTCAGGATGACTACTATGATTTCGTTCTTGAAGGCAGAAGGGGTAGGGTGTAAGTGAGGGGTGAGTAAGGAAGGTTCAGGTTTAGTCCCATATAATTTTATGGTATTTCTTTTTTTTTTTTTTTTTTTTATTTTACTGGGACGGAGTCTCACTCTGTAGCCCAGGCTGGAGTGCAGTGGCGCTATCTCTTCTCACTGCAACCTCCGCCTGCTGGGTTCAAGCAATTCTCCCACCACAGCCTCCCGAGTAGCTGGGATTACAGGTGCCCATTACCATGCCCGGCTAATTTTTGTATTTTTAGTAGAGATGGGGTTTCGCCATGATGGCCAGTCTGGCCTGGAACTCCTAACCTCAAGTGATCAGCCTGCCTCGGCCTCCCAAAGTGCTGGGATTATAGGTGTGAGCCACCGCACCCAGCCTAATTATGGTATTTCTGAACTTGAAGTGACATAAAAAGTCATCTCATATAGATGAGGAGATTGAGACTGAGAGAGGTTAAAGATTTCCATATAGCTATAATATTTGAATTTAGGCAAGGAAATTTGGGAGAAAAATCTTCATACTTGCTGTCTTCACTTGCTTACCTTCCAGTTACTCATAAGCCACTCCAATCTTGTGTTGTACCCAAGGCTGCACAGCTAGTTGCTGGTTGAATCAAGTCTAGTTAGAACCTAGGTAATTTCATTTCCAGTCCAGCGCTGTAGACCATGTCACCTTTTGAGTATTGATTAAACAAAGACTTGTTGAGTGTCTGGTATATGGCCCATATTGTTCTGGGCCCTACAGAACAGTAGTATATAGGACAAACAAAATCCCTGCTTCCAATAAAGCTTATCTAGTGGTAGAAAAAGACAATTAACACCCCCTTCTCCTTCTACACAGACACGTGCGTGGGCACACACACACACACACATTTTTACAGATTGTGATAAACATGAAGAAAATAATGTCATGTTGTAGATGGTGAAGAGATTAGTCAGTGAAGAGCTTTATGAGGAAGTGGCATTTGAATTGGAATCTGAGGGATGAGAGGAAGCTAGGCAGAGTGTGCTAGGCCATCAAGTAGCAAATACTTAAAATATTTAACTTGAATGTGGGTCAGAGTGTGGAGGGGATCTATAAGGAAAGATACTGGGAAAGTGGGTAGTAGCTAAATGCCTAGATATTGCAGAGGCTGCAAGGCCTCAAAGGCTGGCTGTGATAATAAAACATTTGGATTATTTCTAATGTCATCAGACGCCTTTAGAATCTTTTAAAGAGGGCAGTAACATAATTTGTGTGTTTATTACCCTGACTACAGTGGTAGCATGCATTGTAGAGGGGTCAGGTAATAAGTGGCAGAAGGGAGACAGGTTAAGAGATGGGAGCAGTAGTCCAGGCCAAATATGTTTGTATCTTAGCCAAAGATGGTAATAGAAAGATGGAAAGAAGTATACAGCATCATGAGGAGAAATTGACAGGACCTGCTGTTGCATTGAATAAGGATGGTGAGAGAAAGGGAGGAAATAGCATCTGGGCACCGTGGCTCATGCGCATAATCCCAGCGCTTTGGGAGGCCGAGGCAGGTGGATTGCATGAGCTCAGGAGTTCGAGACCACCTGGGCAACATGGTGAAAACTCATCTCTACTAAAATACACAAAAATTAGCCAGGCGTGGTGGCGCACACCTATAGTCCCAGCTACTCGGGAGGCTGAGGCATGAGAATTTGAGCCTGGAAGGCAGCGGTTGCAGTGAGCCGAGATTGCGCCACTGAGCTCCAGCTTGGACCACAGAGTGAGACTTTGTCTCAAAAAAAAAAAAAAAAAGGAGGAAATAGGGATAATTCATCTCCAAACAAACAAACAAACAAAAACAAAAAAGGGGGGAAATAGGGATAATTCCAGTTTTTTTTATGTCAGCAGCTGGGTGGAAGGTCATGGTCAAATCTAACAATGTGATTATTGGAAACTTCATCAAAGGAAGGAATGGAAGCCATGGAAAGTAAAAAAGTGGAGTCAACAAGTAGGAAGATTTTTTTTTTTCCCTAAATTGTTTTGTCTGTCTAAATTCCAGAATAAAGTGTATGGAAGCCAGTTTTGTTTGTTTGTTTGTTTGTTTTTGTTTTTGTTTTTTTAAATTTCGTGTTTATTTGGTTTATACGTTGAAGCTTAGTTTCACATTTTGATGTTTTACTGCTTTGTACAGCCCATGATGGTATTTGTCCATATTGAGTAAATGAATAATAGATACACCAAATGAGGTTTGTTTAGCAAAATCTGTTTTCCTATTGGTGTATTTTGTATTTTCTGTGATCTTTATAGAAACTTGATTTTCATTTGGCAGCAACTTTTAATTAACTTTGTAGGGTCTCTGTTTTCCTCGAGAAACTGTGACAACAATGAAATATGCAGGTTACAAGCTTACACGTAGCTTTATTTACACTGTTTTCCTTTTTGTTAATGTAGCAGTAATAACAACACTCTTTGCTTATTACCACGTTCTGGACAAATTTTCAGACATGATTTTATTCTCAGATGATGGCCCATAGGAACCTGCACCTGATAAATCTGATTTTTCACTTTCTCTATCAACTAGAAGTAATTCCTTTCTCCCTTCTTTGACGTTTCCCCATTTTAGTTAGGTTCTCTTCCTTGTGTCAACATGGATTCCTTCTCTATTTATGCAGGATGGGGCATGGCAGCCTAAGGGAAGTTTCCTTAATCAGGTGTGTATGTGTCCCTGTGTCCTTCTATTGCTGTTTTCTTCCGGGGACCTAATAACAGGAGGAAATGGGACAGAGATAGGGTTTAGGGGGTGGAAAGTGGGATCACGAATTTCATGACATTCTATGAGAAGGTGTTTAAAGTATATGTGTCTTGGGAGGATTTCATTATGGATGTTCTTGGATCTTTTGGGTTTCAGTACTCCAAGTGGGGGTTCTTTTAGTGGTTCCTGTGGGAATGTAGGTAAATTAGCTTTAGGGGTACAGGCACAGTACTAGCACTTACATTTACTAGAAAATTTTACTTTTTAAGTTAGACATCTAAACAAACTTGAAGAATCTTTTTTGAGAATTGTGTGTTTAATATGTAAAAGGTTGTGGAGCTGATTAGAAAAATTTTTTGTTTTTTGTTTTTTTTTAGTGATGGGGTTTCGCCATGTTGCTCAGGCTGGTCTTGAACTCCTGGGCTCAAGTGCTCTGCCTGCCTTGGCCTCTCAGAGTGCTGGAATTATAGGCATAAGCCACCTTGCCTGGCCTATAAGAAAAATTTTGATGTTGTTATTGCCGCTATATCTCTAGAGTATCTTCTTAGACATAAATTACAGTGGTGGCTCAGAACGAAAGAAAAAAGACTTGTTTAACATCTACATTTTGTATGTTTGTAAATTAAAAGCATATTTGCCATAGAAAATACATTATTTTTGTCTCATTAGATTAATGACTCTCTGATGTTTGCTCTGTGAAATTTGAAAAACACAGCCTTAAGCAAAGACCGTAAGAAAGAAAAATTGAGATCAAAGAGGAGTGTGTGCCATGGCAGTGGGGTGGGGGTTGGGATTTCAGTTCTGAAGCATGAAATGACCTTTAAACCATTTCAAGGATTTTGAATTTTATACTAAGAACAATGGGAAGACACTGCAAGCTTTTAGGTTAGGCAGTGACAAACAGAACTCTCTTCACTTTATGTTGATCTGACTTTTCTTTAGATCAAGAATAACCTTGATCTCAGCCACATACTGCATACGTGATGTGTCTTTCTAGAGTATCCCATCTGGAGGCACATGGTATCTGTTTCTCATAGGTGATGTTAATTTTGATTGCCCACTCAAGGTTTTGCCCTGTTTTGTTGTGTATTTTCTCTGTTTTGCAATTAAAAACTAATCTGTGGGAAGGTTAAGACCTTGTAAATATTTGCTTCTCATCAAATATTTCCCTTTAATTTAGGGTCCATTGATTTTTATTTTTATTTTTTAGCTGATTCAGTCTTT